GGCCGATCCTTTTCAAGGCCTGTCTCATCCACTTTAGCTTACCCACTCTCATCTCTCTCTCCCTGTCTGACGCTGAGCCCCGCGTTTGACCGTCCACACAGAATTCTTTGGAAGTGCTGCTTCACATGATTTATGATTTGATTTAAATGTATACTGCCGCCTTTCTTCGGTTGTTGGCTTGTGTTAATTAACCTCACTTTATTAAAAGAAAGCGCTGGGAAAACTATAGGGGTCTAAAGGTAAAGAAGGGATTAAACAGTTGACAGAATTAAACTTACTGTCTGTTCAGCAATTACATGAACAATGGAGGAAAAATAAAAAGTGAAATGAGATGGACTTATTTTTCCAGTTAGCGGTTTGTGCATACTTTTTGTGAAGTTGATATCTAGGCGGATGAAGGTCAATCCAAAGGAACAATATGATAGCTACTTTGCACAAAAGGATATATGCCAGACATTATTATGGATGTCAAATAAATATAGAAACTACCACAGAGCCTTCAATCATTATGATCTGTTAAGCCTCATGATGAGCATGGTGCATCCTCTCAGTAGGCAAATTACAACGAGATTTTATTTTGACTAATATAAGTAAACCTCACTCTCAACACGATAATGGACACGACCGCTGACTATGGGGATTTTGAATATTACAAAGAAACTGCCGTTTTAATTTTACAGATTACTGTTGTCATTACATTTCTGGGGCTTCCGGCATCAAATGATTGTTCAATCAAATGCATTTTTTTAAATGAAAACATCAGGCTTTCAACTGAATTTCTACAATTTATTTTTGCATGCGCTAATATTAGGCCTACACAGTAGTCTCATCTAATTTGCATATCCTCTGTCAAAACTGGATAATACAAGTCCAACTATGGCACAGCGATTTTATGGTGTGTGTGTGTGTGTGTGTGTGTGTGTGTGTGTGCCTGTTCAAACACACTGTGTGGTAGTGTGGGTGTGGCGTTACACCTCGTGTGGCACTGGGCAGCCAAGATAAGAGCTGATCCTATCCATGCCTCCCTTCTGCAGCGCCCGCCCACCCACAACACACACACCCACCTATAGCACACACACACACACACACACACACACACATACACATACACGCACACACACACATTCACAACACATGCCTAGTGTGGTACTCAACAGGCCATTGTAATCTAATTTTACAATCCCGATGCCCACAACCACAAAACACACAGAAGCAAGCTAAATCCATATTTTCCTTGTACAGTACACTGGCATGTGAGTTAGGATTAAACACACTTCAACGTATACAAAGGCCAACTGAGGTCTCCGAGTGCAGGAAGCTGCGGGAAAAAGCTTCAGGCCCCAAGCAGCATTACTCATTCAAACACATATGAAGGTTCAGAGTGAACACACTCATACTACTGCTTTTAACACACACACACATTTAAGGCGGTAAAAACTTTGTTTTATACCTAGGCAATCTAGACTGCATGATAAAACTGTAAAGAACAACACAGCAGAGAGAAAACCAAGATTAAGGAAGGGAGGAGAGGAAATGAGCTTACCTTCTTATTCTGTGAGTTAACCTTTGGGTACAAACATAAAAACACACTCCTTTCTCTCTAATTCACCACGACTTTCATTGAAGCACACTCACACATCAACACACACTCTGATGTGATCGGCCACCCCGATAGCAAGCCAGAGCTGCTCTCTAAGCCTCAAACAAAGTTTGGTGTGCACTGACCAAGACCGAGGGGACAAAAAAGTGAATGAGAGAACTGGGGGGAGCAACAGAGAAAGAAGAAAAAAAAAGTGTGACCACTGAGTGAAGTTTAACCACTTACGATTCAAGTTTAGCTTCAGCACACCCCGCCTACACCCCGGATTCATTCACGGACATGTACACGCACACCTCTCCGGGTGGGAAAGGCACTGAGCTGGATTTTGGGAAGCCCTGCTTTTTCTCTGTTGTTCCATCTGATTGCTGCTGCATGGCTGCCGGACAGGCAGACGGCCCTCGCTCATCCCCCTTTTCTCTACTATCTTTTCTCTTTCCCTTATCCACTGTCCCTACAGATCCACCCACCAACAGCTGCCCCTGTACATCCAGGCGACAGATAGCTCCTGAGGCTGAGTGTGCATCGGCGTGTATGTGTGTCCATGTATTTGATAAAAAACCATATGTGATGGAGTGAAAAAAGATTAGATTGTAAAAGTATGTGAACAAGTGACACCGTGTAGGAGGGAGTCAGAATGAGAAAGAGGATGAAAGGATTCCATTTCTGTAGGGTGAGAGGGGGAGACTAAGTGTAGTGAATGTGATTTGATGGTGATGCTGAGATGGGGTTTAGGCGTACAAATACTATTAGTCACTGCTGTGCAAACCTGTTACTCACACACTCGCACAAATGTGAAAAACTAGCTGGGCTCCCGGGCTACAGGAGTCAACACACAACATGGCATGGCACATAAAACCAGAAATCAATTGTTTATTTTTCCAACAGCCCTCGGTTATAAATATAAAGGTTATTGCAGTGATAAGAAATCTACCTAAGGCTGATTGTATCGACGCATTTCTTCAGAAAATAAAAAGGGCATGTGAAACATATTCTCTAGAACAAGAAAATAAGAACTTATTAACCTACAGCAGCTATGCAGAAACAATGGGGGAATAATCAAAAGTATATCACCGTTTGTACTGCATACAAATGTTCATCCTATACTGCTTTCATCCTTAAGCCCACTTTAAATAGATATACTTTACCATTTCGTACCATGAGAAGATGATACACGTGCCAACTAAACTGCAATTTGCAAACAATTATTATCTTGATTTATCAATCAGTCTACAGAAGGATCAAAGATATAAGGGTCTTGTATTTGTGTCAGTCAATACTCCAAACCCAAAGATCTTTCATTTACAATGATATTAAAAAGAATCAAGCAACGAATTCTCACATTTGAAGAGCTGTTACTATCAAATCATTGGGATATCTTGGGGATTTTATTTGTTTAAACCAAAATATTTGTTTAACATTCGATTAATCAACTTATTGACCAATTGTTTAAGCTTTAAACTCCACAGCCGGTTATCCTTGATTAAAATAGCGAAAAAGATTTGTTGGGGATTATTATTTTCCTATATCTTCTTATTTTGTCATCACTTATTTATTTCCCTTGTGCAATCCATTGTGGGAAAAAATAGTCTACAACAACAGCAAACTAAATATGATATCTTGCATGAAGTTTTTAGTTAATAAGAGAACAAAGTTGCAGGGTTTCCCCAAAGAAATGTGCTTATAAGAGGTGATGCCCACAGATTCTCAAGCAATTTATTATTATTATTATTATTAATGCTATAAAAACACTCAAATAAACCCTAGCCGACAATGTTTATACTTTTGGTATTGTTAATAAATTGCATGAAAAGATACAAATCCACATTGTCAGTTTGCCATTAAGCGCTGTTTGACCATGTTGGTGTCATGTGACTATCAGAAGTACAGTAAATAGTGCATTTGATGGGGACTATTTTAAGCTGTGGATTTATACACATTTGGTGCACATGGGGTGTTTACAGCAGCAGTACTGACTGTTGATAAACTAAAGTGCACATGTTCATCGTAATGAATGAGCATGTCACCCAGGCAACAGTGTTCCTCATTGATGCGTTCTGAATAGTTTGTAGACAACAATGGAGCAATTAGCCAAATCAGAAAATACTTGTTGGGATCAATTCATTGTTGATTTTGGTGTCTTCGTCAGATTCATGGCAACAAATATTATACTTGTATTTATTGAATTATCTTTTTCCACATGTTTGCCCCTTTTCAAGTGTGAACACAAGCAACACACTCAACGGCTGCTAAGGGATCACTATGTAGAATCAAATTATCTCGCAGCTCAAGACTATTGAGGCTCGTCCCTCAACTCTTTCTGCCTTAAATTCCTTTTTTTCTTTTTTATAAACCCTCCCCCATTCCTCCCACTTTAAGGCCCCTTCAACACCACACCCATGACCCCCCATGTGCAGACATGAGGTCAAGCTCCAAAGATCACAGAGAGACGCCAGATGAGAGAGAGAGAGAGAGAGAGAGAGAGAGAGAGAGAGAGAGAGAGAGAGAGAGAGAGAGAAACAGAGACCTAAAATCCTCCTTTCCTCCCAAAAGCAGGCCAAAACCTCAAGCCTTCCCACCAGCTCCAGACCCCCCCCTTTAGCCCAGTTGTGTGTAGAAGAGGCAGTGAGCACTCTTGCAGAAACATCAGCCCAGGGAAATTCAAATGAGAACGAAACGGTGAGAGAGACACAGAGAGAGGCAGAGTGGGAGCACAATAGTGGGAAAATAAGATAAAAGAATGAGATGGGAGAGAGTTAGGTAGGAGGGAGAAAAAAGGGGGAGCCAGAGAGGTTGCTGAGACTGCAGGTTAAGATAATGTGTAGATCTGAGGAGATTTGAGAGGAACATTTTTTGATTACTCCCATCTCTCCCGACCTCTCCTCCTGCGTTGTTGTCTCTCCGTTTGTTTGTTTTTGGCATTAGCGTTATGACTGTTGGTATGCGTGTGTATGTACACATGCATGCTGATTAGAACTGGAATATTTTATAAACACAAATATTCAAACTTGCACAAACCCTCACGCACATATCAATACATAATGCACATAAACATACTTAAAGATGCATCAGAGAAACGAGCAACTGGGCAGACAGTGCCAGGAATGCTAAGAGCTTACAAACTCGTAAGACATGCAGACACAGATGCTGCATATGTACATACAAACACACACACACACACAGGGTTCACAGTGTAGCCCATTGCTGTGCCCGCTCCTTATCAATGTGCTGCAGGTAGGCTAAGTGTTAGGAATGAGCTGGACCGAACAAAGACTCACTGCTTCCATTCTCTACATATTCAAAGGCACACAAATCATATCAATAAAGTCTGAACAATGCACAAAACACCCAGTACAAACAGAACATACACATAGAGGAGGTAACCTATAAACAAAAGACATACCTGCGCTGCTGTCAGACCCTCCCTCCAGGTTAAGTGAGATGCTCTGGTCTCCGTCCTGGTTCCCTGGACCCAGGATCATCCAGTTCTCCAGATCATCAGATGACTCGGACTCAGAATTTGATTCAGACTCTGAGTTGCTGGAGACCACCGTCACCGGGACGCCTAAAGTTATTTTCTTGGTTCCCTAGATGACCAAACAACAACCATATTGATGTAAATACAAAGCTTTACGTTGCACCATTATGTACCTTTTTTTGTGTACTGATCAAACTGCTGGCAAGCTAAGAATTAAGAGTGAAAAATAAAACAATATCACCTAATTCTTCATTTGCCAGCATACAAAAATGTACAGCTAGAGTTAAACATTTCTGGCAATGCTCCACCACAGCAGCAAGTAATTTTCTAGTACTGCTCCAGTTCAACACGCTCAACAGAAATCAATCAGCTGGCTGAAACTGGCCACTGGACAGTAGCTAGACCAAAAAAGCAGCCAGTACTGTGAGTTTAGTAGGAAACCCTAAATGGCCCAAGTGGGAAACATTAATTCAAAAGCATACTGTGATGGTCTTACAGTTTCTAACCCTCTAAACTTAGATTTTTCTGATAAGAAAACATGTTGTTGTGGTGCGTTTAAGATAAATTATTTGGCCAAGAAGAAGGCGATACATCAGTCTGCCACTGGTGCTGCTAGTTCTCGGATGTCAGTCTGGTGTATCAATGTATTTAACATTGTCACAGTTGATGCTTAATCTACCATTGCCATTTCAGGATAACTCGTTGGTCCATCCCGACGGAGTTCATATTGTAGCTGGAGACTTTAATCATGCATGTCTAAAAAATGTGCTTCCCAAATGTGTACAATATGTACGATGTACCACCAGAGGAAAGAACACACTGGACCGGGTGTATTCTAACCTGAAGCATGCTTACAGAGCGGTACCACTCCCCCATTTAGGACTATCTGACCACCTCTCACTGCTTCTCATCCCAGCTTACACCCCCCTCAGAAGTAACACCAAGCCGGTGGTTAAATATATCAGAACCTGGCGCGAGGGGGCACTCTCACAACTGCAAGACTGCTTCGAACACACAGCGTGGGACATATTTGAACACAGACTTGGAGGAACACACAGAGGCTGTCTTATCTTACATCAAGTTCTGTACACACTGTAACTGTGGAAAAACGCATTCGGGTCTATCCAAACCAAAAACCATGGATGACAAGAGCGGTGCGGTCTCTCCTGAGTTCCCGTGACACAGCCTTCAGGTCGGGGGACGCAGCCCAGTACAGCATGGCAAGGGCGAACCTGAGGAGAGGCATCAAGGCTGCGAAGGAGGACTGCAAGGGAAAAGTGGAGGAGAATCTCGCTCATAACAACACACAGTGCGTTTGGCAGGGCCTTCACCAGCTATAAGGGCAAAACATCTGGCACTACTAGAGCTGACGCCCACCTTGCAGAGGAACTAAACCACTTCTTTGCCCGCTTTGAGGCTAGCAGACCCCCCCACTTTTCTACTCTGCCCCTGTCCCTGCAAACTACCAGCTCCATACCACCTCCCACTCTCAAAGAACATCAGGTGAAGCAGACGCTGAGGTCTGTGAATCCTGGAAAAGCCGCAGGACCCGATGGAGTACTCGGCAAAGTACTCAAAGCTTGTGCTGACCAGCTTTCAGGGGCCCTGACCAGGATATTCAACCTGTCCCTGTCACAAGCTTGCATTCCATCCTGTCTGAAGACGGCTACCATCATTCCTGTCCCCAAAAAGACACCAGTCAGAGAGCTCAACGACTACAGGCCCATAGCCCTAACATCGGCGGTGATGAAATGTTTCGAAAGACTGATAGCCTGCTACATCAAAGCCAGCCTCCCACCCTCCCTCGACCCTTATCAGTTTGCCTAAAGAGCTAACAGATCCACGGATGATGCCATCGCCACGGTCCTTCACACAGCTGTGAGCCACCTAGAAGGCCCAGGCAGCTATATCAGGATGCTGTTTGTTGATTTTAGCTCAGCTTTTAACACCATCATACCTGACATACTAGTGGAAAAACTGTCAAGCCTAGGTTTCCCCCACATCATATGCGCCTGGATAAACAATTTCCATACAGACCGTCCTCAGACAGTGAAAATAGGCCCTTATTGCTCCTCCACCCGCACCCTCAGCACTGGCTCCCCGCAGGGCTGCGTGCTGGGCCCTCTACTCTACACACTCTACACACACGACTGCTCCTTCACTCCTCCAACTCCATTATAAAATGTGCAGATGACACCACTGTGGTCGGTCAAATATATAAGGGAGACGACGAGTTGGCATACAGAGACGAGATCCTGAAGCTGTCTGCGTGGTGTTCAGCAAACAACCTATATCTGAACACAAGCAAAACAAAATAAATCATCATAGACTTCAGAAAACACCGTCCAGAACCAGCCCCCCTTCACCTCAATGGAGAGAGAGTGGAGAGGGTCTAGACCTTTAAGTTCCTGGGGGTACACATTTCGGAGAGCCTCAGCTGGATAGCACACACCACTGCAGCAGTTAAGAAGGCCCAGCAGCGACTACACTTCCCGAGGGTGCTTCGGAGAAACAGACTGAACAAGAAGTTGCTGGTGTCCTTCTACCGGGCGACCATCGAGAGCGTGCTGTCATACTCCATCTCTGTGTGGTATGCTGGCTGTTCAGGAACGGACAAGAAAGCCCTGCAGAGAGTGATTAGGATGGCAGAGAAAACCGTCGGCTGCCCCCTGCCCTCTCTGGAACACATCTCCACCTCCCGCTGCCTCAGCAGAGCAAATAAAATATTAAAGGACAGCTCTCACCCAGGTCACAGACTGTTCTCTCTCCTGCCTTCTGGGAGGAGATACAGGAGCTTCAAATCACGGACAAACAGACTAAAAAACAGTTTCTACCCCTGGGCCGTCAGGCTACTCAACCACCACACTTAATGCAATAACCGTAACCATCTCCACACATATACACATTTTTAATGCACTTTACAACTTATAAACTATTTTTATATCAATATTTTTAACTATGTATTCCCCCCGTATGATTGCTTATGTTGTCTGTCCTACTGCCGTGTTTTTAATGTTATGTATGTCTAGTTTTTGCACACTGGGACAGAGTTGCACTCTGAATCTCGTGTATAATGACAATAAAAGGCTTTAACTTTATTATTTTCATCAGGATTATTTGTTGTTTATTCATTTACTATACCAAATGTCCAATTCATGCAATTAGAGTAAAGTCAAGTATATCTATAGCACTGAGATATAAATGAACACAGGCCAGCATCAATCACAGGATGGGCATATACTTTGGTCTCTTTCTGAAAATCATGAGGCCTGTAAACAAAGCTGAGACAGCATGGGTCAGCTGCACTCGGTTTGGTTTATTTTTGTATATGTATGGGCAGGTAATCATGGGGCCGTAAGGTACTCTGTTTCTGAAGACCTCTCACACTTTGCTCTCTACCTGTGGGGCCGGGGTTGAAGTCTGCAGCCGTCTTAAGCGTCGTCCCTTTAAGGCGCAGACACCGTCTTCATCAGTAGCAGCAGTGTCATCAGCAGTGTCACCCTCAGAGATGGAGATGACATCAGGGCCGGAGTCAATCACGATGACCTCCTCCATTAATGATGTTAATGACCTCTGAACCTTAGGGTTACTTTTACCCTTTTTCTTTTTCTCAGGTTTCTCGTCCTTCTTCTTGTCCTTCTTGAAGTGCTGTAGTAACTTGCTCAAATCAGGTGACAGCGGCCTACTTTTTCCAGTTTTGTCCTGTTCTCTGTCCACATTTACAATCTGCTCAGGTTTCTCCAGATGCTCACTGTCCTGTTCCTCCTCCTCATCTCCTGTCTCCTCCACCACCCCGGCATTAGAGGAGTAGTGGAGCTGGCTGTAGAGGCGGAACTCCAGCTCGCTGTTGTCCTCTGACCCCTCAGAGTCCCCTTCATCCTCCCGATAGAGATCGTCCTCCAACTCCTCCCGATCCTGGTACATGCAGTACATCTCCCCAATCACACTATCCACACACACATGCACACACCTTACCGACACTCACACCAGGGGAGATGGTGATCTCAGGGGCCGAAACTGCCTGCAGGATAAAAACACATAAAGATGAGTTATTATACTGTAGGCATTACATGTCTGTATCATCACATCACACTGTATTCCTTTTGCATCTACTAATACCGACTCAGGATATCCATTTAATATATTATCACCAAGATCTTTGTTAATTATTTTCCTGTATGAAAAGTCTACCTCATGCAATAACAGTCATGTGAACTATTATCTATAGCACTGGGGAATAAGATAACACAGGCCAGCATCAATCCTAGGATGGGCAGATTCTTCAGTCCTGTCATGAAGTCCATTGGGGCTTGTTAACAAAGCTGAGAGAGAGCATGGATCAGCTGCACTCAGTTATATTGTTTTACGATTTTATCAGAGCTTTGGTGTTTAGACCACTTTAAAAAACATCCTCTTTGGCCTACTTTTAATGATTATGTTGGAAACTTTGAAATTACACACCGTGTAGCTAATTTTTCCACGCTCACTCTTTCTCTCTAGCCCTCTCTCACACACACACATAGAGACACACACAGGACAGAGTAGGGGCACCGGCCCATTGCTCTGTCCAGTCCTGCGTGTCTGTGCCATGATGGCTGGAGATGATTGGCTCCCAGACCGCACACACGGTAGAAACGCCACGCTACACGGTCACAAGCCGGCCGCCGGGGATTAAAGGGACAGAAAGAAGAGTCTTACCGGCTGGTGAGGGAGAGCGACAGTTTTGAAGTTTAAGCGTGACCTGAAGCCAACAAATGACAGACTGTGTTTTACAGTGGTGGAATGTAAAGCCCCAGCAGAGTCGAGACCCCAAGGACAGGTTCCCCTCACTGCCCAATTAAAGCTCTGCATGTTGCAGTAGGAAAGGCTCAGGTTTAAATCATAAAATGAATGTTGGTGAAATTCTATTTAGCTGCCTCTGTCCTGGTATTGTGTATGTGTGTTTACTGTCACAGGTTACTGGGATACTTGAATAAGTCAGAGCCTTTGTAAATGTTAGGTTAAAGGTCCCATGCCATGCTTTTCCGGTTATTACCCGTCCCCTTGTGTGTTATGTAGCTTTTTATGCATGTAAACGGTCTGCAGAGTCAAAAACACTCAAAGTACACCCTGTAGCGAGTAAAACTCTAACACAGAAAAGACCTATCTATGCTGAACCAGAACGCCTCGTTGGAGATTTTTCATTTTCATTTTTGTCTTCCGGGAACCAAGTGACGTAACGACGACCCCATGGACCAATTGGTCCAAATGGACCAATCCGCGGAGCCGTTACGCTACAACAAGGCGTTTAGGACAGAGAGTGAATACACATACTATACAGAGATGCTGTATGAGAAACCAATGTGAGTTTGGAAAATTGCACAATGTAAATCTATTCTAGTGGACTTCAACAATGGAATTATGATCAGTGGAAATGGCCATGACATGGGACCTTTAATGCTTGTCCTTCTAGGATGTACTATCACATTAGCCTTTCACTCAATGCCTCGCACTCCGCTCAGAGAAAGGATGAGATGCCACCAATCTGACCTGGGTTAACATCGGAACTGTAAGCAGTCCATGACAGCAATGCCACATTCTGTAGTCTGTTAATCTATGTTGTACAAGTCTACTGATGACTTTTGCATTTACAAAGAAGCGGAATAACCAAAAACACCTACTAATACCACCCAACTATGTGCAATATGTGCAATATGTGCAATATATATATATATATATATATATATATATATATGCCATTAATAACTGTGCAATATATACCTGGCTGCTAAATCCTCAGAACTGTTACAGGATGTGTATTTGGTAAATTGTGTAACTTTTTATTTAATTTAATTTTCTATTATAACTTTTTTTGTATTTTAATACTTTTTTATGCATGCTTCTACGTAACATTAAGCCGTCTTTGGCTCTTGTCTGCTGTAACAACGTACATTTCCCCTCTGTGGGACTAATAAAGGTATTCTGATTAATACATGCATGATGTGTGTGCAAGACTTTTAGGCACAACTCTGAGGTAATTTGAGTATGTACATGTTATGCTTTTAACAATGTATCGATTTAAACGTCACACTTGGTCAGTATGTTAGTACCAATAGAAGTGCAGTGTCAACAGTGAAGTTGTTTAGATGAGCAATTCCGAAAAAACCTTCAAGCAGCAATACCAGAAGCCAAGCAATCGTCAACAATAATATTGATACAATAAATACGAATCTGAATATAACGGGGGCGTGTTGCATACATAGGTTGCATACTGAGAACGTTTATCTTGATGATGAAAGTAAGTAAGCTTTACTTGAAGTAAATGTTAAATCATTTGCATTATTTTACTTTGATTGCCCATATGTTGATGTGGTTGGTCTGTGTGTGGACTTTGTTTATGTAAATAAATGAAGCATTAACGGATTTAAAAAGGCATGGTTGATGGATGGAAAATCTCACTAAGTGTAATGTTAGAGTGGCACGTTGAGGTCCTGAGCACACAAACGTTACACGAATTTTGAAGGGAAACAGATGAAGGGAATGTGCCCTGTAACTGGAGTTAGCTTGGTGGTGGCTACATGCTAACGAGCTAGCAAATGAACTGAAGCGAACGTTAACTTTGAAGGAAGATGCTGTTAAGTGATTTACTATCGCTTTACTGACGCTAAACCACAGGTCCATCCGAAAAACTATCGCCATATAATTCACTGTTTCTAGTTACTGCCAAATGTCTGCTTATAACATGTGTCCCTGCTGTCTGCCCACGTGTTTATAAGCAGCACAGTAGCCGGTCGGATGTAAACAAGGCAGCACTTCCGTCACAATCAAGAATGAAATATCAAAACTCAACCGAAATAAAGCCTTCATAATCAACCCAATCCCTCTGTCTGTATTTTATCAGTAAGCATTAGCTCACCTTATTCCAACCAAATGGAGAGGTTACAGCACTCCTGGTCCAGCTTCCACACAGAGGGAGACAAGCAAACCACTTCCGGGTGTCAGAGGAAAATGTGTTGGCCGACCGTAACGTTTCACTGCGTCCTACTGAATATTGTGGAAATGTTAAAGACTATCGTGAACGGTTGTTATAGCAACAAATCGTCAGCACAAATATTGTATATTTAAATTAAAGTATAAATGTGTGTGTTGAAAACAATTCTGACTAGAAAAAAGGTAGTGGCATAAGCCAAGAAACCCATTGAGTTATGTACAAATAAAAGGGAAAATACACATTATTTTCCCATTTCTTTTAACTTTGCAAGATGGTCTGCACCTGTCAAGCTTTATTTATTTTTTATTGTATGTGTTTCTGTTGTTTAAACGTGTTTGTCAAAGTCAATTTAAAAGCCTCAGAAGACCATAACAACTTATAATAGGTAACTGTAAGTGATAGAGCAGGGGTGTCCACACTTTTTTCACTGAGGGCCACATACAGAGAAACGTACATAGGGCTGGGCAACTCACTCGAGGTAAGGTATATTGTCTCATAAATTAAAGATATAAGTGCAAACTCAATCAAATGGAGGTAAATTATGCTTGATATATGACTATGCTTTAAAAAAAAAAATAAACAGCCTAGCTTTAGGGTTTCATTTATTTTGTTACAAAAGGTGTCTGAGCTCATTCCTTAAAACAGAAGCCTCAGATTGCTTCTCAATCTCTCTTCACAGCCCTGTGTAAAGGGCAGACAATAAGGAGAAATATAAAGGGGATATTCCAAGGTTGTTATACAAATACATTATTGGGCTTTTTCTTATCAACTAAGATTTGTTAGACAATGTTTTCAACTTTAATTGACTGAACTGGCCATATTCCATTATACTTTTACAAACATGCACACACATGCTATGGGCCGTAGTTTCAGTTTGGACACCCCAGTGATAGAGGGTAAATTGCACTTCAAAGGATTCACATAACTTCAAACCAGTTTTTCTCAGTTATATATATAATATTCTTACACAGACTTAGTGTTTCTATGCCATTCTTGTACATCTGGTTGTCAGTATTATCCCCATATCGAGACAAATTGCAATACAATTCCTATATCCTGATCATAAAAGAAGCATATCGTTTTGCTGTGATGTGGAGTTATTCTAAAATTATAGGATTACAAAACAGTTTTATTGTAAGGATGTTTGGACCACTGTGATCCAATATATTCATTAAAAGCTGTCAAGTTAAGAAATTAATTTGGGCCTAGTTCTTTTGACCATAGAAATTGAAGTTCACAATCCCTCTTGACATCATTGGGTTATTTGGTCGTCGATAAGGCAAATATATAATAATATCATTTTTGTCCTTGTTTCTGTAGTATTTTTGTTGTTTGCTAGTTTTAAAGGCTTCTTTTTTATCTCTAGGCTCAGTCCTTACAAACCATCATATGAATGCATTGGTTTAGGTCTTAAAAAAATTAAAATCCTGTAAGTACTGAACTGTAAAAAAGCAGATCCAAAGTGTTCGGTGGCCAAAGGGTTGCATGCTGACCATGTGGTCATGGCATGCCTGGTCCAAGTTTCTAGACACATTTCCTGTTGTCTCTCTACACTGCTGCCATTTAATAAAATGCCTAAAAAAAAGGGGATCTGAAAACCAGTGCTACAGTTAGGAAAAATATGATCACCTTATTGTTGCACACATTTTATGCAAAAATTCAGACTACATTATTGTTCAATGGCACTCTTTAAAATGTCATTATTTAAGATTATGTGTAATTGTAAACGGGGCTGCTTTACTTCAAAGGCATCATATCTCTTTCTGCAGACAAAAGATCCAGCAGGGCCCTACACTGTTTTTCACAGAATGGACTATTGTCAGCCTGATGGATGCTAGGCATTTTCCTCACCTTCCTCAATAAGGCACACATATTAGCTATGAAATGTCAGAATATGTGCATGTATGAGTGACTAGTATGGACCTTCAGGCCTGTGCTATTATTACATGTTGATGGGAATGTAAATCTATATGTAAATGTAATTTAACAGACATGGCTATCGCCATCAGTCATATTTATAACTCAAAGAATACAGCAAAATTATGCCATCCTGGCTCTCATGCAGACTGTGTAACATTAACATCCATCTTGTCCTTCCTTCCATATCATGAGAATAATTTTGAACTCAGTGTATCCAACTATAGGCATCGCCATCATAATAACAGTGAGCGAACAGCGTTATGATAGGGAATCAGAGGGTGAATGCCATCTGATTCAAAAGGTTTCTCCATGCGTGTCAACACAGGAAAGGCCATCATAGAGTTGGATTGTTGCCTTCCAAAGGTTAGTCTGCACCTCATGTCACAACACTATCACCCCTTTTAGCCAATGTATACACCTGACACACGCACACACACCCCACAAACACACTTAAAATCCTGCATCTGTTTTGTTTTTTGGGAAGTGCATATGGGGGCCCTCTGACTCCCCTGCGCCACATATCTCTCTAAATTGGATGCAGGTTCGGGATGCCTCACTGACTCAGTGAAATTGTGATGTGGCTGCCTGATTTTGGGTTCCATGCATTTGGTGGTATTTACTATTATTATTTTAAAAAAGGTAGAAGAGAATGGCTGAGTGGAGGCATCTGGTTCAGCGGTTCATCTCAGGGCGTACAGACCACTGGCGTGTTAAAGATGGATGGAGTGTCCTGGACAAGGATTTGAAGTCCGCAGATTTCCAATCACACATTCCAGGGGGATGGTTCTGCCTGATGAATGATCTTTATTGAGGAGAAGGAGTTAAAAGAAGCATGTCATTGCTCTCATTTGATGGTGTTTGTATGTGCTATGGAGGCTCCTACTTTCATTTGGCGCCAGACGCAGTAGCCAACACTTTTGATGGAGTGGTTTATCAAACAGGAATCTCGTCAGCTGCTCTTGTGTATTGCCAATATTCTGCAACTGATGGTCATTTGTGTACAAATGTACTTCTCTGAAGACCAAAAATGCCCCAAATGTGTCCTAAACACTGCTATTGCTTGGATTTTGTCAGTTTGATGAAACACTCATGAGAGGATTTTACAAAACAAAAATTCAGGACAATACATTGTTTGCTTTGGTACATTATGCAAGAAGTGCATTTTGAAAAAACAAAAAGCAAATGTCCCTTACAGTTGTTTGGGAAATAACAACTTACATTTGAAACAATAGGTTCATTAATACCTCTTTTTAAACCCTCTTACATTATTTTGATTATTGGTTTAACTGATGTCACCTTCTCAAATGTGAATATTTTCTCTTCTAGTAAAATAAATATTTGGGTATTTTGGCTTTTTGGTCAGATGAAATATATAAATTGTTCAAACAAGTCTTGAAGTCAAGTGTGGCATCTTCTCAGTTTAAGGTGATGTGAGTTCATCTCAATAAAAGTGCCTCTTCTCTGCTATTGGTGCAGGCGTTCTTGTTACTGTATGCATGTAAATACAACCAGCCAGCCTGTATCAAAGCAGCCAGGCACATGGAATTCTCCCGAAAAAAAAAGACTAGCCCTGGATCAGCGCTCCTGAACAAAAATGGCTCCCATGCATCACCCATATGGGGCCCTCTGTGCTGCAGTCATTCACATACAGCAGATGTACGGATTGTGAACCTAAAGCCCATTTTAGTGCTTTTCTTTCACTGCAACACACACTCTGTTGTTTCAATCCACTGAAAGTTTGATCTTTCCTATCACATTAACTTTGGTGTTATATTTTTATTAATTCTTAGCATCAAATAGCTTTGCGGGATAAGAAACTGGTGGTGTATTAGAGAGATTCAGTATATTCTTGAGTTAATATGCCAACTAGAGCATGTACTAATCAGTGGCAAAGCTCATGCAGGAAGAAACAAATGATAAAACACACCCGGAGGGGAATGACGAATTGTCACAGGGGCATAGCCTGAAATTCTGTGTAACAGAATATTTCTGTGGTTTCTCAGTCATTTTTAAGATATTCAAAATTGAGTGGAACCCATCTCTGGAAAGTAAAGTAACACAATACTACTTTTGACGTTTCCTTAATTTGTCTTTGTTGAAATACCGTATATTATTTTATATCACTATCTTGATATAGTGCAGTCATAGGCAGATTATTGCAGTTATATTGTCTGGTGGTGTATAACAGCACATTGCCCTACCCATACCTCAACACCTTTAAAACATGAATTGCTCTAAACTTATTTAAGGCCATGATCACCTGATGAGAGGCTTCAAGTGCCATTTCAAGAAGTTAACATGCCAAACAGTTGGCAACCATCGTCTTATAGCCCTAAGGAACCAGGACGCCCCAGGGTTCATGTATTTTGGTCTAATTTGTTATGGTAAGAAACATTTAGTCTTGTGCAAAATGTCTTGTTGTTGGCCCCTGCTGGGCGTGTCTGACAGTCAATTCTTTTTACTTTTTCAAACTAAATTAATTGCCAGTACCTGCCACACACACACACACACCTTTGATCAACAGTCTGTCAGCGCTTTCAGCAGGAAAAGACTAGTCTGACAACACCTTTTCAGACCGGACCAAGTGACTTGTGTCTATGGGGATTACATTTGAGAACAGAAGCTCTGTACACTCTCACATGCACACACACACGCACACCACATCGCCACACGATGCCACAACACCTCTTTCTCAGCTGCGGGTATAAAACCACATTGACAGGAGCCTTGTCCTCTCTTGTCGAATCGTCACGCTGAAATGTTTACCTTTACATACAAATGGCCTGGTGTCATGTTGTGTCACATAATGTTTCATGGACAAATAATGTGTCCCATTTCTCAATCCGCCCTGCAGCCCTTAAGCCCCCTTCTAGCCTTAATAGTCACAACAGCAACAACCATGGCTGCAAAAAGGGAACCTTGTGTCCCCACAGTGAAGTGCCACTCTGAATTAAATCCCAGGGATATAAAGGCAAACTCAATCTGCACTGCGGCTCTGAGCGTTTTGGAGAATACAATGGCAAATACATGAGCATCATGGGATGTTGATATCATAGTGTTTTTAGTCTAGGTTTAGGTTTTGTACAGAAATGTATGACAAAGTC